AAAAAAAAAATTATCTTTTTCAACAGTTCAGCACCAAGTTAAATTTGTATTAAAATAATATTTATAACATTCTTTGTTAGGACGGTTTTGAGTGGATAAAAAGAAACATCTCAATTAATAATTTCTTTTTTCAAACGAAGGATAGATATTATATATTTACAACCTTGCATCTCTAGTTATCTCAAACTCTAACATCTCTAGTTATCTCATCCTCTCAGAAGATCAACAGGTTATTCTTGACATCATAGTTCAGCTTCTCCAAATTGGGTTGCACTGCAAACTGTATCATTGGCGGCGGTCCACAAGCCAAAGCAAGAGTATCGTCTGATCCTGGCGGAAGGTGCTCTCTCATAATGCTCTCATTGATTAACCCCACACTATACTGCCAACCTTCCCTGATGGGCTTACTAATCACATACCACACCTTCAACCTCTCATGCATTTTAGCCCAACCATCCAACTCTTCCCTCAGCAAAATATCATCTTCTGTATGGTTGGCATAGACCACGTACATCTCTGTTTCATCCTCTGGATCCTTGAGAATTGCTTGAACGACTTGGTAAATGGGTGTGATCCCTGTCCCACCAGCCAGCATTGCCAGCTTCTTAGCAAACTTCGGTTTGCCATGGACTAAGAAATTTCCACGACCCTTGTACTCGATGTGACCCAGTGGACCCTTCACGTCCAGCACCGACGCTAGCGGGAGCGAGTCCAAATATTGTGACATGAGCCCGCCATTTGGAAACTTGGGGTGTACTCCCTTGAAATAAATCTTCACCACTAGATCAAAGTGCCCCACTTCATCAATGCTACTTGTCGGCGTGTAAGCTCGCATACACAGTTTTCCATCAATGGACGCACACAAGAGTATGTGCTTCCCCACTTGTAGCCCCAGTACTTGATCCTCCAATGGCAATGCGAATCTAAATAATCTCACATCATGTGACAATGATGTTTTGACAATTAGCTTGCATGGTAGTTTCTCCCGTTGAACAAGTGCTCCATGTCTCGTCGGCATAATTACTTGCTTCGCAGGAACAACTTCTTTGATAGGGGCTAAGTGCGTGGTATTGACAGCGCCGTGAACCGAATTATTGGGGGAGGACGAGTCTGAAGTATAGCCAGAACCTGTGGTGATCAATTCCCCAATTCGATAGTCCTCGAGCAATTTCTTGGCTTTATCAGAGTGGATGGCATCAAATTCTTCGGTGCAGTCACTACCTGCGTTGATTAAGATGCTATCAGTGCCACCGGGATGGTCCTTAAGGAAATGGGTGCAATCGTAGATGTGACCGTGGACAATAATCCAGGCGGAGTCAGCGGAGTTGTGTTTCTCGACTTCGGACATGGGGAATGTTTTTGTGGAAGGGTTCATGAACGGAGACGAAACGCTCTTTTTCAAAGTTTGGTTGGCGTCGGATGATTTCTCCAGGTGTTTTTCCTTGGCCATCCATCCTCCGGATTGGTTGCCCGGAATAGTTGGGTGCTCGAAGATGATTCCGATTTCTCCCTTGTGTGGCCTGCAAACGCTTGTTTTCACTCGGAACCAGCAGTTGTTCATCATTCCCTGTTATTAACGTAATCCAAAATTAATTTAGAATGCAATTTCAGGCAGAAGTCACTGCACCTAAAAATATTAGTTCGGTGTAGGAAATAAAAAATGACATCAATCAATTTTTACAGGAACAGACGGAAGGTGAAGGAAAGGAAAATGACGTTATTTCGAGTATTTAAATTAATAAAATTTTATTTTAATAAAATAATTTAATTTATTATTATATTTATTTTTGCCCATTATCTCAAAATAAATAAATTGTAAGTATTTTTATTCTTTTCAAACTTAAAAAGATATTTTTTAAGTGCAGAATAGATTAAAAAAACATTTTTGCTTTACTTTTTACCCCCAAATTCAATAGTTTTTATTTTTATTTATTTGAACATGAAAAAAATTTTAAAAAAGGAAAATTAATTTTATAAAGATTAAAACTAAAATTTTAATCTTAATGAACTTATATATCTTTTCTAACACAGTTAGTGCTATAGATAGCTCCCAAAACCAGTAGTTGATTAGAAATTAAGTACATATATGAATAAACATATACCATGACATTCCAAATAAGCTTTTCGGGCTGGGTATTGAGGGTCTCATCCCAGGCTCGAACAGCAATCTCCTTGGTTCCGAGCAGGTCCAGCACCTCCACCTCAAGTGACCAGAAGCACCAGCACCAGTATTTGCCATACTTGTTGGGCTTCTCCGGGTGGTCCAAACAGCATACTCGCCATGTCTCTCCACCATCAATCGTCACCTCCACCCGTGTCACTTTCTTCCCACCACCTGTATGAAGTATGATTTCAGCCAACACAAGCACGTTAAACGAGAAGAGATTTTATTTTTTTTTTGGTAAATTAAAAAAAACCCACTATTATGCCAGTACTTTGGCTGCAACTTGCAATCATGTGGGATTTTTGGACAGTATATCAGTTTAATTATATTGAGTGTTAAAACCTCAACACTACCTAACAAAATACTACTTGACTGCTTTGCTAGAATGGGTACTTCTCTGTCTTCTCCAAGCATTTGTATTTTTGAAAGCTGCCCTCCGTCAGCGACTTTCTTTTGTGATGCTGATGCCTATGGGGTTTGTTTTGCTCGACCCCCTTGGGCCTTGATGTACCCTTGTTTGTAGTCTTTTAATAATATCTCTTCATTTACCAAAAAAAAAATATCTCTTTATTTACCAAAAAAAAAAAACCTAACAAAATTCTCTCTCTCTCTCTCTATCTTTTTTTTGTCTCTTAATTTATTATCTCCAGCTCTTTTCAAATTTTACAGATGCCTTGTCATATCTCAAAAAAAATTGAGCTCATATGACTTTCTGGTGTGTGTTGTCATGTACGAGGAAATCAATTTTTAGCGAAATCCCCGAACATATTGATGTGACTCAACCCATCAATAACTAACCAATGTGCAAGATTATTGTCATATATAGTTAAGGTTATTAAAATTTATAAAATATTAATTTAATTTAATTAACAAAAATAATTATTAATTATAATTATTAATTAATAAATTCAAATAATCAAAAAATTAATATTTTTAATATTATAAAAAAAAAATCAAAAAATTAGTGTCCTTTTGCTGGGCAATAACCACAAACAAGATGACATACAGTACATAAATGTAATTTTAAATTCCCATTAAAAAAATAAATTGAATTTTGAAAAAATTTGCAAACTACTCTGTACTCACCGGAATACGCGTAGCCCTTCAACGTGTATGGCCTCTGGGTGGTCCAGGAGTTGATTGGCAAGATTTCTTCGTGGCACGGTGTCGTTATCACCGAGTTGATGTTCAGCTCATTGATGATGAACTCCGGCTTATACCACCATGCTTCATATTAACCCATAAACATTATCAATTAATATGTTCAAATTTCTGGGGATGCAAATTGAAAAGATGCATATATAATACCTTCCGATTTATACCTTCAGCGTTTGCAAGCTCGGCATCAACGTGAGAGGGGAGAACTCTGTTATCCTTATAGTGGTAGTAATTGTCTGACTCTTGTGTTGTAACTATAATTCTCTTTAGCCATTTCACCATACGCCCACCAATGAACCCTGGAATGATCATCCTTACAGGGAACCCATGATCCGGTGTTAGAAGCTCTCCGTTTTGCATGTACGCCAGGATTATATCCCGGGATGGGTCCATGGCAAACTCATTCTTTATACTTGTTCCGTACTTGGACCCACCCCCGCCGGGCAGATCCTCTGCCCCTTCAAAGCACACATTCAGGGCTCCCTTTTTCCGGCTAACAACTCCGCATCGTTTCAGTACGCTCCGCAACATGACGCCCTTCCACACGGTTGTTGATATTGCTGCGGCGCCCCAGTTGAATCCTATTGTCTGTTTCACCATGTTTTGTTCCTTTCGTCTGTTACCGGCGCACACTAGCGTCGCGAGGAACTCGCGGCTGGGGAACTCATTCACCAGCTGGTCCATGGTGAAAACTGTGGGCCGCTTCACTAGACCCGTGACTTCTACGGCCCATTCGTCCCACGATCCCTTAGGAACAGTGCCGTGGTTGCGCACGTAGTGAAGCGGTACCGGGGTGATGAAACCGTGATGCATGAGGCGATTGAGCGGTGGCTCGGAGTTGAAAGGGTGCTTCCCCGTGAGACGGATCATGGAGGAGTTGCGCTTGATCCAGCTATCGGGGGTAGATTCGTCTCTGGGGTCCAAGATAGACGGCTCGACTTCGTCTTTAGATTTAACAGCCAACTCTTTGCAAAAATTCTCATTTTCCTCGTCTTCGATGGAAGAACCGTCATCGTCGTGGTGGAGGAGGACGACGGGCTTGGTGGTGCGGGATCTGGCTGGAGAGTCCGGGCGGCGTGTAGGAGTTGGGTCAGGCTTCAAGGGCGGTACGATGTCATTTAAAGTGGGCTCCCGTTGTGTGCACTGGCGGTTATCGATGGGGGCCGCCATTAGACTAAACGGAGAGAATGGTATGAATTTCTCTGCGGAAAAGCGGAAGCATTGGAGGGGGAATTTACATTGGAAGATGGTCAAAAGAAAAAGTAGACCCACCTTATTATGATGCTTACTTAGGAAATTATAAAATATGTTAAATAAAAAACATTTATTTAAGTAATAATTAATTTAAAATAAATATAAAATTTTATTAATAAATTATTATATCATCTATCTTTTATTTTTTTTTAAAAAAATAGTATTATTAAAATTAGATATATAAATATAGAGGCTGCATTCAATGCACCCGCTGCCCAAAATAACAGTGTGTTATTTTTTAATTTTAATTATTTATATTAGGTTAAATACCCTTTTTGGTCCCTCTACTATAGGAAAAAGCCCTTTTTTGGTCCCTGTACCGAAAAAATCCCCTTTTTAGTCCTTACTATTCACAAATCCGGCCCCTTTTTGGTCCCTCCGTTAATTTTTGCTCACGTGTCACGTTAACTTAACTGAAACAGCTGATGTGGATATGCCAACATGTAAAGGATGCTTACATGGATCCCACGTCATCATCCACGTCACCATCCACGTGGACTCAACTTCCTCCGACCTTTTTTTCTTTTTTTTCTTTTTTTTCCTCTTACCCCGCAGGCGAACCCAGGCTCTCCAAGAGCCTGGGTTCCTTGCAGGCTACCCATCGCGAACCCGC